ACTTGAGTTATTAAAATTTGTTGAGAGACAAATCACAAGATGAAGAGTTAATATGTTTGCTTAAATCCTAGTCCTACCATGAGCTATGTGTGTGACCTTATATAAGTGGCTGTAAATTTTGGCCTCATTCTCCTTAGATGTAAAATAGGAATGATAGATGACATTTACTGAGGTCTGATTATATGCCAAACATTGTGCTAAACATGTAAAAAAGAAAAGACTAGTAGCAATTGCCTATATTTTATAGAATTCTTGTAAGGATTAAATTAGAAAATATTAGGAACGTCCTGGTACATATTAAATGCTAGTTAACAGTTAAGATCAATTTAAGCCATTACTTCTAAACTTAATTGGACATTTTGCTTGCTCAAGGTCTACTGACATCATTGCAAACCCATGTCTCGAGCTTACTAACCCCTCAAAAATGTAGGGGAAATTACCAAAATAAAGTTAAATAACATAAACTTTCTGAATACATATCCCTAAATAAAGATTATAGTTGCAAACTTACATATTTATAAAGTAGAAATTTCAGTTTTGCTCTGCTTTGTGAATAAGCTGATCACCCCCACCCAAAGTGGAAAATAAATCATGTGCCAAGCAAAAACAACCAAAATGTTACAAAGAGCTCTATTTCAAACCCCCCACTAACCTGTAAGGGGTTAGGATTCAACTTCTTCCTCTAGTGGTGCAAGAGCTACATACTTTGGTGAGCGAGTGTGGGTTAAATTTCAACCCCCCACTCACTCTTTGGTTGAACATCCTCAGCTAGGACTTCCCTGAACAGCTATATTGAACAGAAGGACGGCAACTCATGTGTCAACCACCTTGTGTATATCATGCTTTATACTTTATTCCATTTGCTCCGCATGACAAATGTACATGAAACAATATCTACAAAGTGGGCAATGGCATTGCCATTCTACCTAAAGACTAAACCTCAGAGAGTCTACATAACTCACCACTAATAAGAGGTGGTCAAGAATTGGGATTACATCTAGTTGATCTGACAGTCCTCTTTCCTTCACTTTGCCTTCCTATACTTCTATAACTACATACATAATTACTGTAAATAAACAATGAAAATACTACAGCAGAGATGCCTTGAGTCAGGCTTTGAGATTTTTGCATTATTATTATTTTACTTAGAAAATCAGAGAGAGAACTACTACATAAGTCTCCGTAGACAGAGTATCTAAAATAATAATGAACAACACTTTAATATTTCTTAGCCTTTGAGTTTTGATATTTTTCTCACAGAGAGCAGCAATCACTAACTGTGTAAATGTCTTTATCTGCATTTGAGTTGATTTTATAAGTCAATTTTAATATTATTCTAATATCAGACTATAGAAAACTACGTATTCTTCATTAAGAATTAGGACTCGCCAATATCTTCTCTGGAATTAATAAGACAGTAGGGTCAATGAAATGAAATGAATCGTTTATTAGCCATTTTTCTTTTTTTTTTTTTTTTTTTTTGCGTTGGAGTCTCACTCTGTCATCCAGACTGGAATGCAGTGGCTGCTCCCGGCCACTGCAGCTTCGACCTCCTGGGCTCGGGCAATTCTTCCGCCTCAGCCTTCCAAGTAGTCGGAACTACAGGTGCGCGCTACCATACCCGGCTAATTTTTTGATTTATTGTAGCGATGAGGTCTCACCAAGTTGCCCAGGTGGGTCTCGAACCTGTGGGCTCAGGGAATCCATTCACCTCAGCCTCCCAAAGCGCGGGATTACAGGCTGAGCCACCGAGCCTGGCTTATTAGTCATTTTTCAACAGGTATTCATGGAGGACCCCTACACTACATGACACTGGAGATGTGAAGATAAATAGTACCCAGTCTCTCTCCTGGAAAAACTCAGCATCAAGTTAATTAAATGGATTAGTTTAAAATGTAACTGTCATGAGAGTAAGAGCAAAGTAGCCTTGAATTTTGTGGAATGAAGTGATTTTGTAAAAGCCATGCAAAAAATCATGTTATATATTGTTGTATACATTTAAACGTTTATGGGTAGCTTCGCCTCACAGCCCACCTACTTAAGAATTTTGTGAAAATTCTTCATAAAATAACATTTTAAATAATGTAATATCTCTTTAAAATTTGAATGGGAAAATAGTTTAAATTACAAGGAGTATTTAGGTTAAATAAAAGGAAGATCTATAAATAATCAAGTTGCTAAATACTAGGAGATGCTGTTAAAATACTTGTTTAAGAAGAAGATAAAATGTTTGCCAACGACTTCTCAACAGAAGAGCACCCACTACTTGAGGCTCCAAAATGGTAATGTAGAAGCAAGCTGGTTTCACTTCCCCCCACAGAAAACCAAGACCAAATATATAGTGCCAAGATTATCACCAGCAATATCTCAGAACTCAAATATGAGGATGAGACATTCCCAGGGCCACAGAGAAGTGAAAAAACTATGAGCAGACAGCAAGAGAATCAGACTTTCTCATCCATAATCCTCCTCCCCCAATCTGCCTGGCACCAAGGGCATAGCACATTTCCCCCAACTCACAGTTTCTACACTAGAAAAAACGAGTTCAAGCTCAACAACCAACCAATTGGGTTCCCTGGTAGGAGGCCTGTCCCTGCCTCAACCTATAAAAAGCATCAGGAATGTCTGAAGGGAGAAATATTCCTAAGGAAAACCATATACAAGGGTGCATGGTGGGACTATCATTTCCAGACATGGAAACTCTGCTCTGTAACTCAGTCAAAGAAGATGTCAAACCAGAGTGGCTGTTGAGCAGAATCACACCATGAGAAGTTCATTCCACAGATCCCTTGTCACAAACCTCTAGTCAGTTACTCATGAGATATCCCCTTTGGGACCTCCTATATTCAGAGAGGGCCACACTCCGATTGTTTGCTAGAACTGAGGCAAACCTAGGCTTAAGGTGCCATCTAGTGATAAAAATGAGGCAGTGAACTAATAAGAAAAAAGAAGGAAAGAAAATCAGCAGGCAAATAACGAAGAATCTCTAAGCAAATATAACCAATAAATAAACAAAACAAGCTCAGATTTTAGTAGTTCATGCCTATAATCCCAGCACTTTGGGAGGCTGAGGAGGGAGATTCCTTGAGTCCAGTCATTTGAGACCAGCCTAGGCAACATGGCAAGATCTTGTCTCTATTAAAAAAAAAAAAAATCAAAACATTAGCCTGGCATGGTATCATGTGCCTATAGTCCCAGGTACTCAGGAGTCTGAGGTGGAAGAATTGCCTGAGCCCAGACAGTTGAGGCTTCAGAGAGTCATGATTGTGCCACTGCACTCCAGCCTGAGCAACAGAGTGAGACTCTGTGTCAAAAAAAGGAGGAGAAGAAAGAGGAGGAGGAGGAGGAGGAGGAGGAGGAAGAGGAGGGACAAAAAGCCAAATAGAGATGACTAGAATAAATAAATAATGGTTCAATGCAAAGACCTAATTTTACATCTACAAGAAACAATCATAGGTAGACCCTAAGGAGACAGGGATATGTGAACTCTCTGACCAGGAAATTAAAAAAAAATCCTAAAATTTATTAGAGAAAATTTAACAAAGAGATTAAAATAATGTTTTAAAACTCAAACAAAAATCTTGGAACAGAGAGATACATTCACTGAACTGAGAAATTTATTAGAGACTCTCAACAGCAGCTAGATTGAGCAGAGGAAAGAATCAGTGAGTTCAAAGACAGGTTATTTGAAACTATATAGGGAAGAAAAGGGGAAAAAATAACAATGACCAAGAATCACCTACAGGATATAGAAATTTACCTCAAAAGACCAAATCTAAGAATTATTGGTGTTCAAGAGGAAGGTAAGACCAAAGGTTAAAAAGCTTATTCAAAGAACTTATAACAGAAAATTGTACAAAATGTAAGAGATAAATATCCAGGTTCAGAAAAATAAGAACACCAAACAGATTTAACTCAGTAAGACTACCCCAAGACATATAATAGTCAAACTCTCAGAGATTAAAGAGAAAGAGCATTTTTTAAAATGTCAAGAGAAAAGCACATAACATATAAAGAAGCTCCAATTCTTTTGGTAACAAACTTTTCAATTGAAAGCAAACAGGCCAGGAAGGAGCAGGACAAGATTTTCATAGTGCTGAAAGAAAGAAAAAAAAAATTGTCACTGAAGAATACTGTATCCAGCAAAGCTATTATTTGAATATTAAGGAGATATTGCTTTTCTCCCACAAACAAAAGCTGAGAAAATTCACTACCACCAGACATGTCATTCAAGAAATTTTAAAAGGAGTTCTCAAGATAAATGAAAAAGACACTAACATACAAAAATAAAACATTTGAAGATATAAAACTCACCAGTAAAATTAAGTGAACAAACCCAGAATACTCTAATACTATAATTGTGATGTGCAACTCACTAAAAATTTCAGTATGACACCCCAAAAACAAAAACAAACCTATCAAAAACAATAATACTTACATCTTTGAACATAATGAATATGGTTTAAATGCATGCTGAGAAAATTGTAGACATTATTTACAAAAATATAATTGACAGATTTGAGTTTGAAGGAAAGCAAACTGTGATGTCAAGAGGCAATCATTGATATGCACAGGAGTTTACAAAATATGTCTCCCATCTATGCCTTTCAATAACTTCTCAAAGTCTTCTTTCAAATTACCAAGATATTCATTGCAATGAATTAAATAATAGGAAATTACAGAAGAACAGGTGGTAGGTATTAAACTACCTCAAATCTTGGAACTAAGGGTTTAAAATCTCTAATGGGAAAGGTCCAATGCTGAGAAGTCCAGATAATAGATTCAACTTGGGTACGAAAATATTAAGGTCAAAACAATTTTTCAGAAAAGACACATTTTTAGAAAGAAGTCCAATCTGTCCATGAGGCCACATGTGTTTAGACTGTCAGGTGTGGCCTGCCTGACTTATGGGAAGAATTACGTTGCAGTTTTTGGAGATGTCTTCTCTGGTCATGACTGTCTGGGTTACTTCTCAGTCCCATTTTATTTTTGTCTTTCAGCTGAAACTAAGATCTGCTTCAAATACTACCATGGAGTGAGTGGAGCCCTGAGAGCTACCACTCCCAGCGTCACGGTTAAAAACTCAGCAGCTCCCGTAAGTCTTATCTCTTCTTCTTTGGTCAGACATAACTCTGGTGCATTTCTTCATGTTCCTATTTTTGTTCTTGTGTGTGTGCGCATATACACACACACGTCTGAATATATACTGACAGATGGATTATAAATAGATAAACAGGCAGACATCTTAAAATAATGAAGAGGGATGAGACCCAAAGCCAGCTTGATTGAAGTACATGCCACTTGTTTGTTAAAGAAATGCCAAGCTTCTGTATTTCCCTAGAAGGCCAAATGTTTTTTAACAGAGATATGTTTAATAGAAGTGAATGTTTTTCTTTGGAACACATTTTTTTTTAATTTCTTAGTTTAAAATGTTTATATTTTCATATCTTTTTAGGCTTATAAATAAGTTGATGGAGTGGAATTTGTTGTCTCAGATTGATTTAATTATGTAAATAAGGATACTGTGCTCAGAGAGACTAAGTATTGTATCTTAGGTCACACAGCTAGCTCATTGCAGATCCAGGATTTATTTACTTATTTGTTTATTTATTTCTTTGTTTATCATTTTAAAGATGTGTGATACAATTCAGGGTTAGATATAGATCCAGGATTTTTTTTTTTTTCTTTTCTTTTTTTTTTTTTGAGTTGGAGTCTCACTCTGTCGCCCAGACTGGAGTGCAGTGGCCGCTCCCGGCCACCGCAGCCTCAATCTGCTCGGCTCCGGCGATCCTTCTGCCTCAGCCAGAACTACAGGCATGCGCTACCATGCCCGGCTAATTTTTTGATTTATTGTAGAGATGAGATCTTGCCAAGTTACCCAGGCAGGTCTCAAACCCGCGGGCTCAGGCAATTCACTTACCTCAGCCTCCCAAAGTGCTGGGATTACAGGCTTAGCCACCGAGCTCGGCTAGATCCCGGATTTAAATCACATCTTTCCCCCCTATTTTGTGGCTTTACTCAGTCCTATGGCAATGGATGCCATCTTTTCCTAAATTACAGTCTAGTTTTTATCTTTGTGCTGCTTCTTACTTAGTTCTCAATACTTCTGATTTTGCTTAAATCTACTTGGAAATTGCATTCCTTCTCACATGAATCAAAAATTACCGAACAGGGAAGGCTGTACAAAAACAGCGAGGACTTTGTCATGCTAGTGGAAGTAAAAATGACTTATTTTTTTTTCTATGTTAAAAAAACAGAAGACATATTTGCAATGAACTATAAATGATACAGAAAGGCCTTTGGCTCCAAAATAATCCCATTTTGAGTTTTGCTAATCAGTTGAACAGCATTCCAAAAATGAGCCAACCAAGGCCTTGGTAGTAAAGAGTAGGACAAGCAGGCCCCAGGGCCCAAAGTCCAACTGCCTTGTTCCTGGGGTTCCAGCAGGACCAGATGCTGGGCTGGATTTACCGTGAGGAGCCACACAGTGGGGAAAGGGAGGGAGGGCCATGTGCACTTTTGACAGCTTTACCATGTTTCCCTCCACTAACCATGCAGAAGTCTGTGGCTTTTCTGGATGGGCCAGGAATGGGAGTGTGGGAATCCGAGGAAGCGTCCACGGAGTGCCATCCCTCCTCTTCCAGGCCCATTTCTATGAGAAGTCCTTAAAAGAGATACCCAAAAAAGCCAAACAGGTCCTGATACATGTCAGCCCATCAGTAAGGCTGGAGGGACAGTTAAAGTCAAGGCAGAAAAAAAATTGAACTAAAAGTTCAGTGGACAAAGGAGAAAGACACTGGACACACAACAGACAGAGAGAAGGGAGGAGGCAGGAAGTGGGATAAAGCCAGATCAGGAAAAGCCTTCCACATGCAGATCAGGCCTCTGCTTCTGCAAGCAGTTCATTTAATTAGACAGTTCTTTACAAGACACACTGATCTCTCAGCAAAGATGGACCATGCCCATTGAAGGGACTAGCCTGCTTGTCCGAGGCTGAAAAGGGAGAAAAGAGTTCCTCACTTTCTTCTGTTCCGAAGTGGTACTGTGGGTGAGGGTTTACCAGCCCTGGAATTCAGACAAATTCTTACCTGAAGCACTTTTTTCTTTAAAGAAACTTCCTAGAGAATTTGACATCTCTATTTGAACTCAGCTTACTAGAGACTCCAGATGTTCCCCTGCTTCTCAGACCAATATGAAATGTGACATACATCATCATAGTGGTGTACAATATGAGCTTAAAATGAACAAGATGCCACTACTCAGAAAATGGCCTCAAAAGTGCTGTAAGCAGCCCTCCAGAATGGGATAAACTGTCAACAAGTACATGTGCCCCAGGAACTGCCATCACCAGAAACAAGGGCTTACATCTGGGAAGAGGAAATGAGGTATTTCCATCATACTATTGACAACATGGTTCAGGAGATGACACTGATTCTGTTTCAGCCCGGCTTCATCTTTCTCATCTCATGTGTGCTACTATTCCTTATATTTCAAACTCAGGAATCTTGAACTATTTTTGGCATATTGCCTTTGTCCTTATTATTATCTCCTTAATGATTTCTCACACAAATCAGTAGACATTTGGGTTGACGCTTGAATATACATCCCACAGACAACTTTTGTTCTCCAAGCATGTGAGACAGCCCGATTGTAAAACCCATGTGATGCCAGGGACAGAGTGGGAATTCTTGGGATCCCACTGCCACGTTGGAAATGAGCCCTCAGAGTCCCATGACAGAAGGGAGCATGCACTTTTCCACAAGACTGTTTTAATGGAATTAGTTTTTAAGTGGTATACTACCACTATTCTCCTTTCTGTCTCTGTGAATTTGATTATTCTAAGTACCACATGTAAATGGAATTATACAATCTTTAACCTTTTGTGTATGGCTTTTTCACTTTGCATACTTCAAGGTTCATCCACATGGTAGCATGTATTGGAATTTTAGGCCTTTTTAAGGCTGAATAATATTTTACTATATGTATATACCACACTTTTTTTATTCACTCATCCATCCTTATCTTGGATCAAGGACATGGCATTTCTTTCTTATCCTTATCTCCATTATAAGTTTTCCAGATTTAGCAATAAATCTGAAATACAGAATGTCCCGTTGAATTTCAGGTTTAAGAAATAAAATACATTTTTCGCATAAAAATGCCCTCTGCAACATTTGAGACACTTATACTAAAAAAAAATTATCTGAAATTCAGATTTAACTGTATGTCTTGTATTTTATCTGGCATTTCTACAGTCCACATTTAGTAAAACCACAAATAAGAAGATTTCTGTCTACTTGGGACCTTGAGTTGCTAGAATTCTTGCTATTTTTTTTTTTTTTTTTTTTGAGTTGGAGTCTCACTCTGTCGCCCAGACTGGAGTGCAGTGGCCACTCCCGGCCACCGCAGCCTCGACCTGCTGGGCGCCGGCGATCCTTCCGCCTCAGCCTTCCAAGTAGCCGGAATTACAGGCAAGCGCTACCACGCCCGGCTGATTTTTTGATTTATTGTAGAGATGAGGTCTCGCTGCCCAGGCGGGTCTCGAACCCGCGGGCTCAAGCAATCCACTCACCTCAGCCTCCCAAAGGCGCGGGATTACAGGCTGAGCCACCGAGCCCGGCTGAATTCTTGCTTTTTAATCATATCTTAAACAAGATTAATATAAAGTAACCAAAAGTATAAGAAAAGCATGCAACATTTATACACAAATCTTGGTTCACAAGGTTTGTCTGATATATATATATGTGTGTGTGTGTGTATATATATATATGTATATATATATGTATATATATGTGTATATATGTATATATATGTGTATATATGTATATATATGTGTATATATGTATATATATGTGTATATATGTATATATATGTGTATATATATGTATATATATATGTGTATATATGTATATATATATGTGTATATATGTATATATGTGTGTGTGTGTGTGTATATATATATATATATATATTTGGGTTTTTTGTTTGTTTGTTTGTTTTGAGTTGGAGTCTCACTGTCGCCCAGACTGGAGTGGGCGCTCCCGGCCACTGCAGCCTCTCCTGTTGGGCTCCGGCAATCCTTCCGCCTCAGCCTTCCGAGTAGCCGAAATTACAGGCATGCGCTACCACGCCCGGCTGATTTTTTGATTTATTGTAGAGATGAGGTCTCACTGCCCAGGCAGGTCTCGAACCCGCGGGCTCAGACAATCCACTCACCTCAGCCTCCCAAAGACGCGGGATTACAGGCTGAGCCACCAAGCCCGGCGTTTGTCTGATATATTGCATCCTTTCCTCAATCTTGCAATTTTCAGCTGTTTTCTAGTTAAGGAAACTGAGGCTTATACAAACCATATGGATTTCCCTAGCTCATGGAGGTTCTGGAAGGCAGAGGTTTTACTCAAATCCAAAAGTCCTGGATTTCAAAGTCAGTCCTTTTTATTTTTTTTAAAGTAGAGCAACATGATAGAGAAAAATAAAATTGTCAAAGTGATTCAAAATACAATAAATTATTTTCACTAAGTTAAAAAAAAAAGTGGTTACACTATCAGGCCCCTGTTGCTTGATAGCAAGGCACGCTTCTCAAAGTAGTTTCTCATGCATTATTTCTCATGTGATGTCCAGCACATCTGTGAGAAAGGCAGGAACTATCATTTTGGTTAAATGACCATTTTGGCTAGATGGTAATAGAGCAAAACCATATCTACCTTACGTTTTTGCAACCCAGTTCAGATATTAGTATAATCTAGCAACCTTCTGCATTTAAATACTCCTTTGCAGTCTGGTCAGGGGACTTAAGCATGTTGTTTCTAAGTTTCTCCCATTCAATTTGTCAATGAACTTTGAGAATCCACCTTTAGATTGAGGATTGCTGTCACTTCACCAGTCTCTTATGAAGAGTTGCTGTCTAGAGCCATTATGTCATATCCCAAAAGTCACTGAGTCTGTTTGTGCAATATGCTAAAGCTGTGATCCTTTGAAAAAGAGGAACAAGTTGTCACATTGTAACTGGACTTGACCAAATCTGGTTCAACTTTTATGTAACAAAGTTGTGAGCTGTTTATTTATTTATTTAAAAGATGTGAGGTGCAATTCAGG